GGCCGTTTTCGGAGCCCTTTCTGGGCCGTCTTGGACGTGTGTTGGCGCGTCTTGGGGCCCTCGAGGCCTATGTACGGACCTTCTTGGAGGCGTCTTGGACCGTCTGGGAGCGGGTTTGGGGGGCTTTGGGGCCGTGCAGGAGCGGGGGTCACCCTCAAAGGCGCACGTGTGAAACAATATACGTTTTACGAAGGAAACAAACGATTTTTTGCGTCCAGAGGGCCTCTTGGGGGGAATCTTGGATGCCTGTGGGGGCGTCTGGGGAGGCCTCGTGAGCCGTCGGGAGGTTGTCGTCGATGTTTCTTTTCGCTCTTGGACCGTCTGGGACCATGTGGAGCTTCGGGGAAGCAACTCGGAGCGCTCCTGGAACACTCTTGGGGCCGTTTTCGGAGCCCTCTTGGGCCGTCTTGGACGCCTGTTGGCCCATCTTGGGCCCTCTAGGGGTCTGTGGGGGACCCTCTGCGAGGCTTCTGGGGCCGTCTGGGAGCGGGTTTGGGAGCCTCTTGGGCCGTCGGGGAGCATCGGAAAGATCCAAAGCTGAATTTTTTTAAATGTACATTTCACGAAGGGAATGGCCCAATTTTGGCGTCTAGGGACCCTTGTGGAACGCATCTCGGAGGCCCTCGGGGGTGCTCGTGGGGACCTCTTCTGCCGTCGAGGACGCCTCGTGGCCCGTCTTCGGGCAAACTTGGACGTCTTGGAGCGCTCGTGGGGCGTCCCAAATCCATTTCGAAGCCACCAGACGCGTCCCTACACACATTTCACGTGTTTTTCAACGTTTTTCGTCACCCCCAAAAGCGCACGTGTGAAAACAAAAACGTTTTACGAAGGAAACAAACGATTTTTTGCGTCTAGAGGGCCTCTTGGGGGGAATCTTGGATGCCTGTGGGGGCGTCTGGGGAGGCCTCGTGAGCCGTCGGGAGGTCGTCGTCGATGTTTATGATCGCTCTTGGACCGTCTGGGACCATGTGGAGCTTCGGGGAAGCATCTCGGAGCGTTCCTGGAACGCTTTTGGGGCCGTTTTCGGAGCCCTCTTGGGCCGTCTTGGACGCCTGTTGGCCCATCTTGGGCCCTCTAGGGGTCTGTGGGGGACCCTCTGCGAGGCTTCTGGGGCCGTCTGGGAGCGGGTTTGGGAGCCTCTTGGGCCGTCGGGGAGCATCGGAAAGATCCAAAGCTGAATTTTTTAAAATGTACATTTCACGAAGGGAATGGCCCAATTTTGGCGTCTAGGGACCCTTGTGGAGCGCATCTCGGAGGCCCTCAGGGGAGCTCGTGGGGACCTCTTCTGCCGTCGAGGACGCCTCGTGGCCCGTCTTCGGGCAAACTTGGACGTCTTGGAGCGCTCGTGGGGCGTCCCAAACCCATTTCGAGGCCACCAGACGCGTCCCTACACGAATTTCGCGTGTTTTTTCACGTTTTTCGGGAGCGGATGAGACCTCCGGGGGGTTCCGGCCCGTCCGGCCGGACCCCCCCCCCCTCCAAATGGACCGGACCGGGCTCCCGGGGGAGGGGTTTGGGGAGGGGGAACATCTCACACGCCGATGAACCCCAAGGGGTCGGCGGATTCCTCACAAGATGTTCTTGACGGATGTTCTTCTGGCCCAGGTCCGGCTGTGCGTCTCGCCGAATCAAGCAGTGGCGAAGCGGCCTGGCTCGCCTATAGGCCCATCAGATAGTGTTCTAAGGCCCTTTTGCACGACATGTTGTTAGAACATTTCTGGCCGAGACCGTCTCGGTTCAATGCATCGGGCTTACGCTCTGAGAACACTTGTTGTTTCCATAACACTTCTGGGTTCTAAGAACTATTTGTGGTAGGCCTATTAGGATTGCCGGGACGGTCGGTCCCTGCTCAACCGAACGTCACAGGCCTGGAGGTTGACACCAACACCAATATCGGCGGTGTGCCTCCACCGCGGGAAGGACATTCCGATCTCGGTGATGGTGGCAATATTCTGGCTTCCAGCACCGAAATCTGGGATGCTCTTCCCCCCTGTGGAGGCAACGCCCTGTGCTGGTGTTGGTGCCCGTTTCCAGGCCTCCAGGCACGATGCCTCGCAGGCGGTTTTTCTGCTCCCATCCCCGAGCTCCGCCCGAAAAGTTTTTGGCCGCTCAGAGAAGGAGGGATACCCTGGCTGTTCGGACGCACCCCTACATCGAGGATGGACGCCCCCCCTATCGTCTATCCCGATGCTCGGGCCCCAGACTTCTGGTCCACTCGAACACCCCACGAAGCCTGGGATAGGGGTCGGCATATCCCCTGCGAGTGCCCGCACGCGCAGCCCCGCGCCCTCCCTCAGGAGCGAAAGAAGGACGTACATGTACATGAATCCACGCTGGTTTCGAGAGCACGCATTGCACAAATGTTCGTATAACGCGGCCGGTCTCGCGAATCGAGGGGCCGTGTTCATGCACATAGCTGGGCGCGTACGTCCTTCGTGGACTCCTTACTCCCGCAGCCCCGCGCCCTCCCGCCAGGGGCGCCCTGCTGGCCGTGGGCGGCGGCGACCGCGGGCCGCGGGCCGCGCAGCCGCACCTCCCGGGCAGGCCCCGCGGGGCCGCGCGGCGAGCGAAGGGTCGAGCAGCGGCGAGGCTCAGAGGAGGAAGCTCCTCCTCCTCCTCCTCCTCCCCCTCCCCCTCCTCCTCCCCCTCCTCCTCCTCCTCCTCCTCTCCTCCCACCTCTCTCCTCCTCTCCCCTCCTCCTCCTCCTCCTCCTCCCCTCCTCCTCCTCCTCCTCCTTCCTCCTCCTCCTCCTCCTCCTCCTCCTCCTCCTCCTCCTCCCCTCCCCCTCCTCCCCCTCCCCCTCCCCTCCTCCCCCTCCCTCCTCCTCCTCCTCCCTCCTCCTCCTCCTCCTCTCCTCCTCCTCCTCCTCCTCCTCCTCCTCCTCCTCCTCCTCCTCCTCCTCCTCCTCCTCCTCCTCCTCCTCCTCCTCCTCTCCCTCCCCTCCCCTCCCCTCCCCCTCCCCCTCCCCCTCCCCCCCTCCCCCTCCTCCTCCTCCTCCTCCTCCTCCTCCTCCTCCTCCTCCTCCTTCCTCCTCCTCCTCCTCCTCCTCCCCCCCCCCCTCCTCTGCCTCCCCCTCCTCCTCCGCCTAGCCTCCCCTGGCTTTGGGACGCCTCTGGGGAGACCAAAAGGCGGACCCCTGAACATTCGTCCGTTATGCACGGCTGGCTCGTGTCGCCACGACTCCGGCGTTGGTTTCTGCCACCGCGTGGCTCGTTCGACCTGGAACGATCGGCAGATCTTCGATCGCTGGATCGTCCCAGACTGGCCGAGTCTGGGCCACTGGCGGCGTTCGACACGAGCCTACCGTAATTGTTGGTTCGTCGGCTCCCTGCTTCCTCCCTTCCCCCCTCTTCTGGGGAAGCCAGAAGGTACCGATAGCTGCTACTCCCCGGACCTATCCAGGGGTGAAAACGAGCAAAGGGTAGCGGTATGGGTAACTTTTCCTCCTGCGATCTTCCCCCCTCTTTGAGAAGGGCCCGTTCGTCCCGGCATTCCTATAGGCCTACCACGAGATGGTCTTAGAACCGAATAATGTCCTGAGATCGAAAACAAAGTTCGTAGAACATAAGTATAAGGCCGATGTGTCAAAACAAGACGGCCTCAGCATGATATGCTCTGAGAACATGTCGTGCAAACCAGAAGGTTCTTAGAACAGTCTTTGGTGGACCTGCAGGTAAGCGGGGACGCATCTGGGAAAACCAACAGGTACCGATACCGCTGCCCCCCAGACCTCTCCCGGGGCGCGTTCTGACCGGGACTTCGAGGCGAATCCAGCGGTGGCGACGAGGGCTTCCCCGGAAACCCAGAAAGGGGGGAAGCTCAGGACGGGTAGCGATGTGGGCACCGTGTTTCTACGGGAACAAACAATGATTTCGGACATGTTGTGTTTATGCCATTGTTTGTTGACGGGGAGTAGCAGCTATCGGTACCTTTTGGCTTCCCCATAAGAGGGGGGAAGGGAGGAGGCAGGGAGCCGACGAACCAGCAATTACGGTAGGCTCGTGTCCAGTCGACGCGCCAGCGGCCGCGCCGCGGGCGTTCAGGGTGGAACGCCGCCAGTGGCCCAGACTCGGCCAGTCTGGGACGATCCAGCGATCGAAGATCTGCCGATCGTTCCAGGTCGAACGAGCCACGCGGCGGCAGAAACCAACGCCGGAGTCGCGACACGAGCCAGCCGTGCATAACGGACGAATGTTCAGGGGTCCGCGCGAATGTCTTGGGAGCGGCGCCTCTGGCGCCGCTCGTGGCGCGGTCTGCGCCCCAGGGAGGCGGGTCCGAGAATTCCGTGAGGACCTCCGAAAGTTTATGGTCATGTATTTGATTCATCTTCTGGGGACATCAATGTTCCAGGGGGCCTCCAGTCTGCGTGTTGCTCGCATGCATCTCGAATGTGTTCTCCCCATTGCGTCTGGCGCTCAGAGTGCCCCCAGGTTGGAGGATACCTATCATGTGTTCGGTGGACTCTTCGCACTTGAACTAACTACGTGCACGGATATATATATATATATATTATATATATATATATATATAATATATATAAATATATATATGTATATATATATATAGATGTGTATATATATGTAAATGTTTATATATATATATATATAGAGAGAGAGAGAGAGAGACAGAGAGAGACAGAGAGAGAGGGATAGAGAGAGAGAGAGAGAACGAGAGAGAGAAAGAGAGAGAGAGAGAAAGGGTTTGAGGCTCAAGATAAAGATTCAAGCTAGTACTCAGACACGCCGCCGGGCCCCGTCGCGGAGCCCCCTCACAGTTGCGCCGTAGGGTTCTCTGTAGAATGATGGGATGGCAGTATATCAGCGGCGGAGGATATCGCGGACGGCGCTGTTCCGGCTGGCGGTGCTTGGACGAGTGTCTTTGCCTGCGTTGTGGCATGGGCAATTGGATGAGCCGCCAGACTTGCCGTGGCTGTGCTGATCATGTCCAGAACGTGCAGAAGCCGCCGGAAACCGCGGTGTTTGGGCGACTCCCGCAAGCAGGCGGCGGCCATGGTCACGATCCTAGAGGAGGCGCTCGCCGCCCTGGGCACGGACCCCATTCTTGCCGAGGCCCGCAAGAACATCGAAAAGGACCTGGAGAAGCAGAAAACAGCCGCGAAGGACAGCACGAGTGCGGCTGCCAAGCTCGAGCAGAAGAAGGGCTGGATCGAGCGCGAGACCTAGAGGATCGAGGTCGAGACCAAGAAGCTGGAGACGGCCAAGGGAACCTCGACAAGCGCCAGCAGCAACTGCAGGTGGATATCAACGGGGTCGCAGCGCTTCGCCGCATCATCGCCGAGGGCGAGGAGGAGGAGCCGGAACAAAAGGACATGCAGGTGGGCAAGGGCGGCATCCCCGTGGAGGCCGTCGCCGAGTTGCGGAAGTTGGAGCGCCAGGAGCTGGGCATCCGGAGGAGCATAGGGAGGAAGCGCGTTGTCACCACGGACCCAGAGATGTCGGAAGAAGAGTTGTTCGAGTTCGTCGAGGAGGCGGACACCCTTGCCGTGGACATCGACGCCAAGCGGCAGAAGCTCGAGAAGGCGGCCGCGGCCCAGAGGGAAAATAAGAAAACGTCTGCCGGGAATGCGCAAACGTCGCGTTGACAGGGGACTTGGGGGGCCAGCCCAAACATTAACGGCTATGTCGTGGAATGTTTCGGGGCTGGCGGGCAGTCCGGGCCGTGGCTGCAGCAGATCTCTCTCTCTCTCTCTCTCTCTTTTTTTTTTTTTTTTTTGTTCTCTCTCTCTCTCTCGATCGTTTGGATGTTCTGCTGTTGCAGGAGAGTTTGGCGAATCTGGAGGGTGTCGACAGGGGCGGGGGGGGGGGGGCATGTGCTCTTAACCCCGCCGGTACTTTGTGGAGGACTTCCGTGCCCAGTTGTCTTGGCCCACAGGCGGCTGGCCGGGGATGTGCGAACACAAGGAGGGGAGGTCGTTGGGTCGCGGTGGAGGTCAAGGGGGCGTCGATCTCCATCTCAGCGCACCTCCGTCGCAGGAGAGACAAATCCTATAATTCAGCGAGGTCTTGCAGGGTATCTAAGGTTTACTGCGTATGTACCACAAGCATCAGGTGATCTGTGTGGGGGGGTCCCAATGCCCAGCTCAACGGCACCACCGACTATTTCCACGTTGGAGAACAGATACCACGGGCTGTTTTGACAGCGGGGGAGCAGGCCAGGGCGCAGGCGGCGCAGGCGTTCGTGGCCGAGACTGGCATGATCGCGGCGAATGTCTGGATGGAGGTGCGGGGGAAGTCGGAGTCCTTCGCGCGCCGCAACTAGGGCGACTCAGGAGGGCTCGGATCGATTCCATTATGGCTTCGAGTACTGTGCGCAGGGAGTCGGCGTGGGTGCAGGAGCAGAGATGGTTCGCTTCGGACCGCGTTTTTTTTTTTTTTTTTTTTTTTTTTTTTTTTTTTTTTTTTTTTTTTTTTTTTTTTTTTTTTTTTTTTTTATTATTTTATATATATATATATATATATATATAATATTATATTATTATTATTCTGCACATGGAGGCAGCAGCAAGGAGCGGGTGCCGTCATTCAGCCCCAGCGCCCCCGTTGCATCAAGAACTGGGGGCCGGCCTCCACGTGGGCCGAGGCGGTGGCGGAGAACGCGACGCAGTGGCGCGACCGGGAGACGGCGGCGACGGCTCTCAGAGGAAGTGCGACGGAACACCCACAGAAGGTCCCGAAGGCTGAGGGCCTCGAGCTGATGGCCCTGCTCCGGCTACGCGAGGAGAAGGGCGGGAACAAGCAGGAGCTACGCAAGATCAACCGCGGCATCTGCCGTCGGAGGCGGGCGTTCCGGCGAGAGAAGCATCTGGAACGCTTCGAGGCGGGCGTGGGGGCTGGCAGGGCGCCCAGAGCCTCGCCAGCGAAGCGTTGCAACTGGGCGAAGATCGCTTGGCCCCAGGACCCGAAGTCCATGATCGCGGAGTTTGATTCGGACACGTGCGGGCTACCGGAGGACGAGCGGCAGCGCATGGCGGGCGATGGGGGGGACATTGAATGCGTGCGTGGTTAGACTTGCAGGGTGCGTGCGCAACCCGTTAGACTTGCAGGGTGCGTGCGCAACCCGTTGGTCGCCCGGGCAACGCTGGACAGAGCGTTGTCGAAACTCAAAGGGGCAAGAGCTGCCCAGGTGGCATCGCTGCGGAGGTCCTGAAATTGCCAGCCGAGTGCGAAGTGGAGCTGGGGCCAAGCCTGGCTCGCAGATGGAGGGCGCCAGAGTTCCCCGCGGAATGGGCAAGATCGATAGCGACATTGGCGCCCACGGTGGTTGGTGCTACCACTGTGGCCAAGCTCAGACCTATCGCAGGCTTGCGTGCGATGCGCACGCTGCTTGGCTAGATTTGGACGCTGTCGCTGCCAGTGCTGACTTTCGCATCGGCGCAGACGGCGCCCATGCCTGGTAGCCGCGCGGGCACCGGAGTCTCCATGTTGAACGGAGCGGCAGAGCTGGCCAGAGAATGGCGGCGGACGCTGATCACGGCGCAACTCGACCTGAAGAAGGCCTTCGACCATGTCGACCACCGTGCCGCTTTCAAGGCTATGAAGCTCCAAGGGGTAGGGTTCCCCGGGATCGCGCTGATTGCGGCGATCTGGCACCGAAGTTCAGTGCAGGTCAATATTGGGCACGTCGCCTCGGATGATCGGGATGGACATGCGTCTCTCGCAAGGCGCGCCCGAGTCTCCGCTGATCTTCGCGATGATCGTGGAGCTCGATGGTGATCCGGAAGCTGGAGCCCCATTGGAAGGCTCAAGGCAGGGGTATCGGCGTGGACGGCCACTTCCTGTCCTGCGTCAACTGCGCGGGCGACGCTTCGCTCGCTGCGACGTCCATGGAGCGCATGGGGGGGATGATCGCGGACGTTGTGGCCGAGCTCGAGGAGATTGGTCTTGGCGCAGGGCCGGAGAAGACGCGCTGGACCAGCGCCCCGCCCAGGGCCGGCCAGCCGCCGCGCGTGATGGGCGAGGCGGTGGGTCGGGGGGGCAGCCTCGCCACTGCGGGCGCGGCGAGCGACCTTAAGGGTACATCTGGCCCCGGCAATCGCATGCAGGGAAGCTCGGGCAAACGAGGCTTTCCACAAGTTGAGGTCGATTTTACCTCGTGGCTGGATTCCAAAAGAGCGCCGCATGGGGCTGCCCCCGAAGACGGTCTGGGCAGGTTTCCCTGGGGCCGATCGCCTGGGCGCCGACGCAGAGCCATTGGCATCGCATCGCGAGCTGGGGCGCTAGGCAAGCGGCCGAGGTGCTGAGGCCCCGCGGGGCGCCATGGCAGTCGATCGACCAGCGGTGGCGGTTCTTCCACAAGATGGGGCACAGGGCGATCGACGGGCATCGCGTCGATCTCGTGCAGCAGTGCCGCCAGAGAGTCCACAGCTGGGCGGGTCATGTTGCTAGGCTGCCACTGGGCGAGCCCGCCGCTAGAGCTCTCCGCTGCCGCGGCATGCAGTGGTGGAGGTGGCGGCAGGCGCAGCGCGCAGCCACGAGAGACACGCGGTCTGGGCCGCGCCCCCGGCGCTTCAAGATCATGCGCTTGGAAGAGCAGATCTCGGAAGTCTACGGCGAAGGCTTCTCCGAGGACGTCTGCGCGAACGCCGGCTGGCTCGCCGGGGCGCTCGACCGGGCGGGCTGGAAGAAGCTCGGCGTGAAGAACTGACCCTGGACCGGCGACGGGCGGCGAGGTCAGAAGACAGGGGGTCTGGGGCAGCCCCGCTCGGGGCACTCGGCAGGCGCCCGAAAGAAAAGGGTTCGACGTGCGTCTTGCGCGGGCGCGTTTGGGATGCGTTTTCACGTGCTTGGCGCGAAGAGGGCATCCAACATGAGGCCGGCGGATTCTGCAAATGCGAGACCACGTGCGCGGATGAGGCGCGCAAAATGCATTCTTTACGCTTCGCGCATCCCCGCCAGCCCATCTCACAGCAGCAACTCTCGCGAAGCATGCCGACAGTCGTGTTGTTCAGGCGTGTGTCCGCTTGGCCCCGCATATCCCCCCTGTTCCTCCTTCCCCCCGCCTCCTTGCGCATCCCCCTTGTGGGGGGGGGGGGGCGGGGGAAGGACGAGGCGAAGGAGGAGGGAGAGAAAGCGCTCCTCGTGGTTTGAGTCGTTTGGGGTTTCTCGTCCTGGTCGGAGTCGTTCGGGCCCTTCTTCCTGGTGTGAGTCGTTCGGGCTCTTCGTGGTGTGAGTCGTTCGGGCTCTTCGTCCTGGTGTGAGTCGTTCGGGCTTCTCGTGGTGTGAGTTGTTCGGGCCCCTCATCCTGGTGTGAGTCGTTCGGGCCCCTCCTCCTGGTGTGACTCGTTCGGGCTCCTCGTGGTGTGAGTCGTTCGGGGCCCGCGTCGTGGTGCGAGTCCTTCGGGCTCCTCGTGGTGTGAGTCGTTCGGGCGCCTCGTCCTGGTGTGAGTCGTTCGGGCCCCTCCTTGTGGTGTGAGTCGTTCGGGCTCTCGTGGTGTGAGTCGTTCGGGCCCCTCGTCCTGATGTGAGTCGTTCGGGCTCCTCGTGGGGCCTCTTGGGGGCCTCTTGGAGCCTCGTGGGGCCTCGTGGGGGCCTCTTGGGGGCCTCTTGGGGGCCTCTTGGGGCGTCGTGGGCCTCTTGGGGGCCTCTTGGGGGCCTCTTGGGGGCATCTTGGGGCCTCGTGGGGCCTCTTGGGGGCCTCTTGGGGGCCCCTTGGGGCCGCTTGGGGGCCTCTGGGGGGCCTCTTGGGGGCCTCTTGGGAGCCTCCTGGGGGCCTCTTGGGGCCATCTTGGGGCCTCTTGCGACCTCCGCAGAAGCGCAAGGGAGAGCTGCCCCCTGAGAAGGGCAAAATGAGGCCAAAACCTTCCTAATATCAATGTTTTTGCTATGAGGGAAGAGAAGCGCGGCCCCCTTCAGGAGGCCAAAATGGGGCCAAAACCCTAGTCACACCAATGATTTTGGCTTCCAAGAAGAGCAGAGGGGCCAAACTGTATCCCCCCGACGGGGCCAGAATCCTCGTGAGAGTAGTCGTTTTTTGGCCCTCCCAGGAGTCAAAAAAGACCCCCCCTGACTACGCCCCGGACTCCCTGTCCAGGCCCAGGGGGAGGGGGTAGGGGGAGGGGTAAACCCCCCCCGAAGGGGAAGAAGGGGGGTTGAGGACAGAGAGAGCTCTCTAAACCACTCACGCCCAAAGGGCTGGTGGGATTTTGTTCGGTTTTGCCTGAGCACGGCGGGATCGCCCCCCTCGCCCGCCGAAGCAGCCTCGCCTCGCCCGCGCGCGCGACACGAAACCGAAAACGACTTCTTGGCGGGGGGTCTCTTGTTCACGTCGATCTCTTTCCCAACCTCTGCAGATATTCGAGGGGTTTCGAGCGAGGATAATGAGTATTGCATGCATGCACGTTTGTATGTTTGGCCGAAGCCATTTTGTGATCGAGTTCGCCCAGGCCTGAGGTGAAAAGGATCAGGCCCCACCTAGCATAAAGCTTAACATGGTAGCGGAGCGTGTTCAGACGCAGCCAGAGCTGCGCGATGGAGGCAGCGTTGCAAGAGCTGCAGCGGATTGTTGGAGAGCAGGCGGCCCGAATCCAGAGGCTGACCGAGAGACCAGAATCTCAGGCTGAGGACCGACGGCTTGAGAGCATTGTTGACGCGAAGATCCTGAGCAGGATAGGAGTCTTCTCAGGCGCAGATGAAGAATGGAGGCAGTGGTGTTTCGCGTTCGAGTCAACGGCAGGGCTCGTCGACCTAGAGCAGGTCATGACTCACTGCGAGAACGCAGACGAGACGGAGCTAGGCTGGGCAACTCAAACGGAGAGAGTCCAACTGTGGATGAAGGTGCTGTATCACTTGCTGATCGCTACGGCGAGAGGCAAGGCCCTCACGATCCTCCAGATGGCGCCAAAGAACAACGGTGCCATAGGTTGGAAGAGGCTCAAGGACGAGTACGAACCGAAGTCGGGCGGGAGACTGACGGCGATGCTGATGGGAGTGCTCAAGCCAGAGTGGGAGACGGCCATCAGAGGCGGCATCCGCACGTGGGAAGCTGCCTGGAAGGAGTGGGAGAAGAGTGTCTCGCTCTACGAGGCCCAGTCCCTGGAGAGAGTCACGGAAGGTGCGAGGATTGCTGTCGTGGCCAGATGGGCTCCAGAGGACGTGAAGGCCGTGGTCCGCCAAGCCCTGGGGGCGATCGGCCAGGACTACAACAAGCTGGCCAAGGTCGTCACGGACTACATCGCCAGTGGCAAGGTCTACGAGACCACGGGAGCACCCCGCGGCATCCAGTGCGACGGACCCATGCCCATGGGCGTCGGCATGGTGAACGGGAATGGAGACGTTGGCGGCGTCTTCAAGCCACCGAAGGGGCACGGCAAGCAGTCGAGGAAGGACGCTGGCAAGGGTCGGGACTCAGATCGCGACACCTGCAAGAACTGCGGCAAACGAGGCCATTGGTCAAGGGATTGCTGGGCCCCAGGAGGTGGAGCAGCCAACCAGACAAAGGCAAGGGCAAGGACGCGAAAGGCGGAAAAGGAGGTAAAGAGAAGAAGAAGTGCGACAAGTGCGGGAAGCCAGGTCATGAGGCCAAGGATTGCAGGTCACACATCAAGTGCGACAAGTGCGGGAAGATGGGCCACAAAGCTTCAGAGTGCAGGTCGAAGCCAGAGAATGCTGAGGTCAAGAGGATAGTCAACGAGCAGGACGAGCTGTGGGTCATGGGTGTCGCCGAGAGCGTGAACACCATCAACGACGACAGCAAGTACGTGTGGGTCTCGATTGATAGCGGGTCGGACGCTGACGGGTGCCCCCTCGGTTTTGGTCACTCGAGCGACGACGTCGAGGATCCCACCGAGGTGGAGCTGAGGACGGCCACCAACGACGAGATCCAGGACTACGGCGAGCGGAACGTCGGCATCGCGTTTCTGGACGAGACTGGCCACGAGGTGATGGCCACGAACCGATTTCGCATCGGCGACTTCAGCAAGCCCGTGCTCAGCTGTGGCATCAGAGTCATGAGGGGGGCAGTCATTCACTTGGAGACGGGGAACAGCTACATGGCCCCGCCGAGCGTGAACGGCGTCCAGAGGAAGATACACCTGACAATGATCGGGAAGAGCTTCTACGCGAGGTGTCGGGTGCTGGAGGCGGGTGCTCGCAGGCATCGAGTGGCACCTGTGATCGATCAAGCGGCTCATGAGCAAGAGCCAGCGCCAGGACCACCGCCAGAACCTCAAGTTGCATCTGCACCACCAGAACCTCAAGCTGCACCTGCACCGCCAGAACCTCAAGCCGTACCTGTACCACCACCACAAGCAGGACAGCCACGAGAGATCCTGGGCTCCCAGTCGTCAGTCGAGGCATTGAGAGCTCGCCTGAAGGAGCTCAGGAGGCTTGGGATTATCGATGCGGCCATCTACGGCACCAAGAAGCAGCTGTGGGAGAGGCTCGTCAAGTGCGAGCACCAGCTAGATGAGAAGATGAAGGCCAAGGAGGCCCTCGAGGAGCGTCAACGGCGACTCCAAGAAGGCGTCGATCCCGAAGTACCGAGGACACTGAAGATCCCAGGGAGGCCTGACGCGGAGACCGTACGGCAGCACGAGCTTACTCACGCGAAGTTCCTGCCCTGGTGCCTGGAGTGCGTGTTCGGAAAGGGAGATGCCGCACCCCATCGGGGAGTTCAGTTTCTTACGGACAAGGAGCCAGAGGTGCCCGTCGTGCAGATCGACTACCATTTCTTGAAGGACGATGGCGAGGAGACCGAGGACGCGGCCAACCGCTTCTCCACCACGCTGGCCGTCATCGACTGCGACACGGGTGTTCCTCTACAGCTCAGCCTCCCAGAGAAGGGAGGCAACCACGACTACACTGTGACCTCGATCGTGAGTTTTCTCAGGAGGCTGGGCGCCACTCAGCTCAGGCTCAGGAGTGACGGAGAGCCGAGCATTGTCAGCATAGCAAATGCGGTGGCGGCCAAGAGACTCAAGTTCGATGGCTACAAGGTCACAGTGGAGCAGACCCCCAGGTACTCATCGCAGTCGCTCGGAGCTGTGGGGGCGCAGCAGAAGATCTTGCAGGGCCAGACCAGAACCATCCGAGCTGCAACAGAGAAGATGCTGGGCATCAAGATAGGGCCAGGTCATGTTCTGTGGCCGTGGCTTGTTAGACACGTAGGCTTCATCACGGAGATGTTCCACATCAAGTCAAACGGACGGACTCCTCATCAAGATGCTACTGGCACCAAATACCATGTCGTCGTCCTGAAGTTCGCAGAGGCCGCCATGTTCAAGCATCCGATGTCGTCGAGTGGCCACATGACAGGAGGCAGACGCAGTCGCAAGTCCAAGCCGATGTGGGAGAAGGGCGTCTTTCTGGGCAAGACCTACGAGAGCGACGAGTTCCTCATGGGTACGAGCAGCGGGGTGCACTTGGTCAGGACTGTGCGCAGGCTCCCAGAGGAGGACCAATGCGACCTAGAGCTCGTGGCCAAGGTAGTTGGGGTCCCCTGGGACCGAGGCATTGGCCAGATTGGAAGGCCGAAAGGCACGAGGGTGGTCATTCTCCCGACTGCCCCACCTGAGAAGAAGCAAGGGGAGACTGAGGTCGACGATACCAAGGAGGAGAAGGGAGTTCCAGACCCCACGGTGGAGAGAGGAGTTGCCGAGGACTGGAACAGCTATGCGAGTGCCAGGAGTAGGACAGGCAGTGGCTACATGGACGACGTGGCGCTCCCCACACCGAGGCAAGACGCAGGCGGAAGCTCGTCATCACGTCCTGCCCAGCCCACTGGGGAGCCGGAGGTCCCAGAGGTTGAGATGGGCACCGTCGGAGGCGTCGACGGCTTCGTGATGGACGAGATCGACCCGATGCCCGTCATGGATCCAGAGATGGACATCGACTGGCACGAGGGAGAGTATGACGTGGAACTCATCAAGGCAGGCAAGTGCAAGGAGATCAATACGATGCAGGAGTTTGGAGTGTTTGAGGCGGTGTCGCCTGATGAGATAGATTCCACGTGGACAAGGTTGTCAACCAAGTGGGTGTACCAGGAGAATGGTTAAGAGATTCGCTGTCGCTTCGTTGCCAGGGAGTTCAAGAGCATGGACCCCGAGCGTGAGGGGCTATTCGCGCCGGCCAGCGAACCCACGACTGGCAGGCTCATTGACTTCAAGGCGGTGAAGCGAGACCAGCCCACCGTCATCATCGACGCTGTCAATGCCTACTTCCACGCTGAACAAGACAGGCTCGTGGTGGTGGTGCCGCCTCGGGAGTGGATCGGGGCCGAGGCGATAAAGGGCAATACTACGAGGACGACGTGGAGGATGAAGAAGAAGCTCTATGGCGAGAGGGACGCGAGCAGGGGCTTCAGTGACTTCATGAACCGCACCCTCGTCTCAGAGATGGAGTTTGAACAATGTCCTGATCAGCCATGCTTCTACCGCCGAGAGCGGGATTCAGTGGACCTGGAGCTTCATCAGGATGACATCTACGCGACAGCTGATGACAGCAACCTCCAAGCGTTCACGACGGAGCTCAGCAGCAAGGTCAATATCAAGGTGAGGAAGCTACTCAGGGTAGGCGCGAAGGACCAGCATCTGAAAGGAGGGCGAGTGAGAGTCGAGGACGGCATGTTCTTGACGGGCAACAGGAAGTACGCGGGCAAGATCGTGGAACTGCTGAACCTCGACAAGGCGAAGAGCTCGCCCACGCCAGTTGTGACGAAGCTACTGCAGGAGGACTTCGAGCATCCGCTGGACGCCGAGGAGACCAGTCTCTACAGGCAGTGCGTGGGCATCGCAAGGTACATGGTCAACTATGACACGGAGGTCACGTTCGCTGTCCACGTGCTGAGCAAGAGGTTGGCCACGCCCACCGACAACGACATGAAGAGGCTCAAGCATCTCGGCAGGTACCTACTAGGAGTTCGAGACTACGCACTGTTCTTTCCCAGAGCTGGAGAGACAGAGATTTTGGAGTGCTACACTGATTCAGATTGGGCTGGAGACACCATCGACAGAAATAGTATTTCTTGTGGGGTGTTGCGCCGCGGTGGCTGCACGCTTCTCGAGTACTCGCGCGGTCAATGTACCCGAGCGCTGAGCTCAGGAGAAGCCGAGTATCACGCATCGGTGACAGCAGCCGCCGAGGCAATCCACCTCCAGAGTGCGATGGGTTTCCTGGACATGGACGTGAAGATCAGGATCCGCGTAGACTCCTCTGCGGGCAAGGCGGTCTGCCACCGCGTTGGAGTGGGAAGGATCCGCCACCTTGATGTCCGCACCCTGTGGCTCCAAGCCAAGGTGCGAGACAAGAAGCTGGTGGTGAACAAGCACGCTGGGGAGACCAACCTGGCCGACGTGGGTACCAAGGCGCTGACGAGTCAGAGGTTCCACTGGCTGAGAGCACAGCTGGGACGACGGCCGTTGGCTGGCGCGGATGACGTGGAGGAGAGCACGGCTGTTCGGGTCAACATCGTGAGCGACACAACGTCCAAGATGGCGGGGGTCGGCGCGGCCCTGATCGCTCTCCTGGACAGCCTGGGCTCGGTGAGAGCGGACGGTGAGTGCGACGTCTACGGCTACGAGAAGGACAGGAAGGAGATCGCCCTGCAGGACACCCGTCAAGAGACTGGCGTGCACCTCCAGGGCATGATGCTCATCATGGTCATGATCACTATCATGATCGTTGCATGCGCAGTCGGTGGCTGTGCGGGCTGGTGCATCGGCTATTTCATGAGGCCGAGTTGCACGAGCGAGAGCAGGCAGGAGAAAGAGAAAGTAGAGCTCAACCAGAGGGCCATCAAGACCAAGAAGCTGAAGGTCGAGTACAGGACCGTCTCGACCCAGAGCCAGGTGACGTACTCCTGGCATCGGGAGAGTTCGAGGTTTTCACCACTGGGAGAGAGAGCTCAGGGGGCCTGGCCTGAGTGCGGTGAGTGAAGTGAGTGAGTAGAGTGATTTGATGCGGTATCCCGCTGGAGAGTCGAGAGGACCCCAGCGGAAGGGCTTGAGCGACACCGCAGCAGCATGTTTTGCCTGCGGTTCGCAGGACCAGGTTTTCTTTGATTTGGTGCACTGTTTCCTCGTTGAGCGGTCTGATCAGCCGCCTCGTTGAGCCTCCGACATCGCCCTCAGGGGGCGTGCAGATATTCGAGGGGTTTCGAGCGAGGATAATGAGTATTGCATGCATGCACGTTTGTATGGTTGGCCGAAGCCATTTTGTGATCGAGTTCGCCCAGGGCTGAGGTGAAAAGGATCAGGCCCCACCTCGCATAAAGCTTAACAACCTCGGATTCTATCTGCTTGCTGCGGAGACAATCGTTTGTTTCGCTCCGCCTGGCCCCTCCTCCCCCCCCTTCCTAGGGCTCGAGGACGGCCCAACAGGACCCCCAAAACGGCCCCAGAGGTTCTGGAGTCCGCCCAAGAAGGTCCCAAGAAACCCCAACGGGATTTCAAGAGAGGGCCAACAGAGTCCGCTGGGCCGTCTTTGGACGGGCTTGGGGAGTCTTGCGGCCGTTTTGAGGCGGTCTCTGGCTCAGGGCGCCGTGGAGCCGTGGAGCAAAGTGCAGAGGGCGCGGTTTTGTGTGGATGCGCGCGGCAGGGGGGCGTCGCTCCCAGAGAACAGCAGAAACATTTCCCGAACGCCAGCGAGCGCTCTCATATGGCCCCAACGTGCCTGCGACAGGGTTGCGGGGTTTCATTGTTGGCGCTCGAATGTTCAGAAAGGGAATTGGTCGGCGCCTCAGTATGTGTGCCGTTCGCGCCAAGGCGCGTCAGGCTGCAATGCTGGCTTGCAGGTGACGTCCGCCTGCGGTCAGCCCAGTGAATTTGATGCTTTGCTTTACTTTTAAGAGCGGGTCGCTCCACCTTGCGCGCACATCCTTGGGCAATCGACCAGATAAGCGCGCGCGAGGTTGTTGTGTCTCTGGCGCGAGACCCCGCAAGTGCAGCTTCTTTCTCTTCACCGCGGAGGCGATCGTTTATTTCATTTCGCCTTGCGTGCACACCCGTGGGCAATCGACCAGATAAATACGCGCCAGGTTGATGCGCCTCCGTCGGAAAATACAAATGTCATGTCCTGTTGTTCACTCTTTTCGCTCCAGGGGCAGCGAGGAGTTTCGCTACGCTTTGTGTGCGCACCCTTGGATTACTTACCAGGCGGGTATGCCCCAAGCGGTGCGTCTCTACCAGTATGTATGCATGCATGCATGCATGCATGCATGCATGCATGTATGTATGTATGTATGTATGTATGTATGTGTATGTATGTATGTATGTATGTACGTATGTATGTATGTTTGTATGTCTGTATTCCTGTCAGTTTGTCTGTCTGTCTGTATGTATGTATGTTTGTATGTATGCATGCATGCATGCATGTATGTATGCATGCATGCATGCATGCATGTATGTATGTATGTATGTACGCATGTATGTATGTACGTATGTATGTATGTATGTACGTATGTACGTATGTACGTATGTACGTATGTACGTATGTACGTATGTACGTATGTACGTATGTACGTATGCACGTATGCACGTATGCACGTATGTACGTATGTATGTATGTATGTATGTGTGTATGTATGCATGCATGCATGTATGTATGTATGTATGTATGTATGTATGTATGTATGTATGTATATGCACATATATATATATATATATATATATGTATATATATATACATGCATATCTATGTATATATACATATATACATATATATATATATATATATAGGACACCGGAGTTCCAGGTCCCCGGGGGGGGCCGGCCTCATTTCTCTACGGCGGGACCGGGGCTCCAGGACCCCCCGTTCCCGGTCCAAAACGGCCTCGATGGCCTCCAAGACGGCCAAGATGACCCATGATGGCTGCAGAAATGCCTGCAAGAACGCTAAGATGGCCTCAAGAGAGCCCTCGATGGCTCCAAGAGGTACCCTACACGGTCCAATATGGGGTCAAGATAAGTCCAAACAGCCTCCGAGGCGGCCAAGACGCCTCCAAGACATCCGTTGGGAAATCCCGAAAAAGCTAAATGAATCGATTTCCCGTTGGTTTTTGAATATTTTTGCATTTGTTTTTTTTCGGCCTGCTGACGGTCCAGATGGCGCACGAGGCCCCCAAGGTCGCTCCCAGAGCACCCAAGAGGCCTCCACGATAGCCCCGTGACGGCCCAAGAAGCACCAAAAATGGCCCCAGGAGGGCCCCAAGACGGCTCAAGAGGACTCAACACGCCTGAGATTGCCTCCAAGACAGCCACGAAGCGCTCCAAGCGGGCTCGAAGACGGCGAAGACAGGCCTCAAAAACGACTTCCTGCAGCGTCCGACGGGCCAGGAACGCTGTGAGACAGCCAAAGAGGCCGGGGCAATGCGGAAAGATGGCTGCCGCGGGGCACGCGTGCACGGGTGCGCTGAACTCTTTGTGGGGCACGATCCGCGTGAAGTGTCGCGCGAACACGCCCGCTGAGGCCGCATGTGGACCTCCTCCGGGCACGCCCCGTGCCAAACATGTTCCGAAATGGGCGCGGGGGCGCCATGCAAAGATGCCCGTTCTGGAGCATGATTCGTGTGACAGGTGTGCCGACATGGGCGGGGGGGGGGCGCTGTTCGAACCTTCGGGGCCTTTGATTCGGTGGTGCTCCTTGTGGGCATGATCCACGTGACGGGGTGTACCGCCATGGCTGGGGGGGGGCGCAGTGCGAACCTTGCTTCGGGGGCCGTGGGTGGAGAAGGCCCCCAAGAGGCCCCCAAGAGAGACCAGGAGGCCCCCTAGAGGCCCCCTAGAGGCTCCACGAGGCCCCACAGGAGCCCCAAAAGACGCCCCACGAGCATCCGTAGCCATTTTGGCTCAAGGTGGCTCTGACTGCAGTGCGCAAGCGCTCATCATAGTTGCCCATCACCATGCAGACCCCGCGACCAGGCCCCTGGGGCCCGAGGCTGCCCACTTTTCCCAAACTCCCCCCTCCCCCCGCGGTGCCCACTGTTTCCCTCGGGGTCCTTCGGGGGGCTTTCGGAGGGCCCGAAGGCGCTCCCCAGACGGTCCAGGAGGCGTCCGAGACGGTCCAAGAGTGCGCCAAGACGCCCAAGATGGCTTCAAGACGGCCCGAGAGGCCCCCCGAGCGCTTGAAGAGGGCTCCAAGAGGACCCTTATGAGGGTCGCAAGGAACACACATCGCCCTGATTCCTCGTATGTTTGGCCTATGCGTTCCTATTTGTATGTATATAAATATTTGTGTGTGTGCTTGTATGTATGTATGTATGTATGTATGTATGTATGTATGTATGTATGTATGTATGTATGTATGTATGTATGTATATATATATATATATATAGAAGTAAATAGCGTCCACGACGGCCTCAGAGAACCCCAAGAGCGCCGCAAGACATCCCAACAAGGCCTCCAAGACGGCCCAAGAAGCTCCCAGGATCGCCCCAAGACGTCCAACAGAGCCCTCCAAGACGACTTCCGTAGGCGCCTGTGGATCCCAGAGCGCTCTGAGACAGTCCAAGAGGCCCACAAGGCACCTCACTCCATACCCCTCCCCGCTCCTCCCAGATCGTTCCCATTCCTCCCCATCCCTCCCCGCTCCAGGCAGGTGTGCGCGAGGCGGTTGCGTCTCTGGCCGCGAGATCCTGCCAGTGCATACCTACATGTACGAGCACCCTTCGGGTGATAAGGAGGTTGTGTGTGTGGCGGTGTGGGGGAGGAAGGGGGACCAACTGGAGCTACAACATAGCATCGCATAGCATCGCATAGCACAGCATAGACGAGCATCGCGTATCATAGCACAACATAGCATTGCATAGCATGTCATGTCATCGCATCGCATCGCATATAATAGCATAGCATCGTATGGCACAGTACGGCGTAGCATAGCATAGCATCGCATTGCGCAGCATAGTATCGCATCGCATCAGACCGCATAATTCAGCATCGCATTGATAACATAGCGTAGAATTGTACAGCATGGCATAGCACAGCACAGCACAACATCGCATAGCACCAGACACGACGAGACACCGCGGGACACCGCGGGACACCCCAAGGCCACCGCCAGCCACCCCCGGTCCTCTGTTGGCCAACCGGGGGGCACAGCAAAATTTGGCCCAGTTTTGCCGTAAGCACAGATGGTTCTTTCCTCTCGCCTTCCGACGCAGCTTCGCCGCGCCCACACGCGCGACACGAACACGAAACCGAAAACGATTTCCTGGCGGGGGGCTCCTGTTCACTTCGATCTCTTTCCCAACCTCGGATTCTGTCACACCACGGGACACCGCGGGACACCCCCGGGCAACCACTGGCCAACCGGGGGGCGCAGCAGAATTTTGTTCGGTTTTGCCTGAGCACGGCGGGATCATCCCCCTCGCCCGCCGAAGCAGCCTCGCCTCGCCCACACGCACGACACGAAACCGAAAACGACTTCTTGGCGGGGGGTCTCTTGTTCACGTCGATCTCTTTCCCAACCTCGGATTTTATCTGCTTGCTGCGGAGACAATCGTTTGTTTCGCTCCGCCTGGCCCCTCCTCCCCCCCCCTTCCTAGGGCTCGAGGACGGCCCAACAGGACCCCAAAAACGGCCCCAGAGGTTCCGGAGTCCGCCCAAGAGGGTCCCAAGAAATCCCAACGGGATTTCAAGAGAGGGCCAAGAGAGTCCGCTGGGCCGTCTTTGGACGGGCTTGGGGAGTCTTGCGGCCGTTTTGAGGCGGTCTCTGGCTCAGGGCGCCGTGGAGCCGTGGAGCAAAGTGCAGAGGGCGCGATTTTGTGTGGATGCGCGCGGCAGGGGGGCGTCGCTCCCAGAGAACAGCAGAAACATTTCCCGAAAGCCAACGAGCGCTCTCATATGGCCCCAACGTGCCTGCGACAGGGTGGCGGAGTTTCATTGTTGGCGTTCGAATGTTCAGAAAGGGAATTGGTCGGCGCCTCAGTATGTGTGCCGTTCGCGCTAAGGCGCGTCAGGCTGCAATGCTGGCTTGCAGGTGACGTCCGCCTGCGGTCAGCCCAGTGCTTTGCTTTACTTTTAAGAGCGGGTCGCTCCACCTTGCGCGCACATCCTTGGGCAATCGACCAGATAAGTGCGCGCGAGGTTGTTGTGTCTCTGGCGCGAGACCCCGCAAGTGCAGCTTCTTTCTCTTCACCGCGGAGGCGATCGTTTATTTCATTTCGCCTTGCGTGCACCCCCGTGGGCAATCGACCAGATAAATGCGCGCCAGGTTGATGCGTCTCCGTCGGAAAATATAAATGTCATGTCCTGTTGTTCACTCTTTTCGCTCCAGGGGCAGCGAGGAGTTTCGCTACGCTTTGTGTGCGCACCCTTGGATTACTTACCAGGCGAGTATGCCCCAAGCGGTGCGTCTCTACCAGTATGTATGTATGCATGCATGCATGCATGCATGCATGTATACATATAACGGCGCACCGGGTCCGGGGGCCCGGGGCCGGGACCCCGACCACAAATGTGGGCCCCGGGGGGCCCGGAGGCTCGTCGGACCGCCGGACGCCGTCCAAGATCGTTCGCAGGCGGCTTCGGAACGCGCTCCGATGGCTCCAGATGCCTTCCAAGACGCCTGTCATGACACCAAGAAGGTCCCAGAAGCCTCCAAGACGCTCCGAGAGGCAGCCCAAGAGAGGCCCAAGAAGCAAAAATCGTGCCATTCCTATGGGAAAACGTATTTTTTTCGCATGTTCGCCTCTTGGGCTTTCACCGCGTCCAAGACGGCCCAAGAGGCGCCCAAGACCGCCCCAAGACGGCCCAAGAAGCTTCCAAGAGGGCCCCAGGACAGCCCAAGAGGGCCCCAAGACGGCCCAAGAGGCGCCCAAGATGGCCCAAGAGGGCCCCAAGACGGGCCCAAGAGGGGGCCCAGAGGGGGACCACGAACCGCAAGCTCGAGCCTTCCGCCCCAAGAGGCCGCCAGGAGGCCCCAAGGAGGCCCCTCAAGAGGCCCCAGGAGACCCCCAAGAGGCCCAAAGGAGGCCCCGAGAAGCCCCAAATCGGCCCCCAAAATGCTTCGAACCTGCTTCCAGGAGGCCCCCGACAGGTTCAGAGGCTCCCGAGAAGCTACGTCAAACTCCCAGCGAGCGGCCGGACGAGGCCCCCCACAAAATCACAAGAGGGTTCCAGTATTTGTATCCTTCAGCGCTCTCTGGCCTTCTTCCCCCTGCCCCCTTCCCTGCGACTTTCGTTGACTCAAGCTCGCCTCCTAGCTAGAACCTAAGCGCGCGCGAAGCGCGCGCGTGGTTTTAGTATGTATGTATGTATGTATGTATGTATGTATGTATGTGTATGTATGTATGTATGTATGTATGTATGTATGTATGTACGTATGTATGCATGTATGTATATATGTATGTATGTATGCCTATCAGTTCGTCTGTCTGTCTGTATGCATGTATGTTTGTTTGTACGTATGCATGCATGCATGCATGCATGCATGTATGTATGTATGCATGCATGCCTGTATGTATGTATGTACGTACGTATGTATGTATGTACGTATGTATGTATGTATGTACGTATGTACGTATGTACGTATGTACGTATGTACGTATGTACGTATGTACGTATGTACGTATGCACGTATGCACGTATGCACGTATGCACGTATGCACGTATGTATGTATGTATGTATGTATGTGTATGTATGTATGTATGTATGTATGTATGTATGTAGGTAGGTAGGTAGGTAGGTATGTATGTATGTATGTATTTATGTACGTGTGTATGTATGTATGTGTGTATGTACGTATGTATGCATGTATGTATGTATGTATGTATAAATGCATGTATATATACACATATATATGTATATATATACATATATATAGATATAGGACACCGGAGTTCCAGGTCCCCGGGGGGGGGCCTGCCTCATTTCTCTACGGCGGGACCGGGGCTCCAGGACCCCACGTTCCCGGTCCAAAACGGCCTCGATGGCCTCCAAGACGGCCAAGATGACCCATGATGGCTGCAGAAATGCCTGCAAGAACGCTAAGATGGCCTCAAGAGAGCCCTCGATGGCTCCAAGAGGTACCCTACACGGTCCAATATGGGGTCAAGATAAGTCCAAATAGCCTCCGAGGCGGCCAAGACGCCTCCAAGACATCCGTTGGGAAATCCAGAAAAAGCTAAATGAATCGATTTCCCGTTGGTTTTTGAATATTTTTGCATTTGTTTTTTTTTCGGCCTGCTGACGGTCCAGATGGCGCACGAGGCCCCCAAGATCGCTCCCAGAGCACCCAAGAGGCCTCCACGATAGCCCCGTGACGGCCCAAGAAACACCAAAAATGGCCCCAGGAGGGCCCCAAGACGGCTCAAGAGGACTCAACACGCCTGAGATTGCCTCCAAGACAGCCACGAAGCGCTCCAAGCGGGCTCGAAGACGGCGAAGACAGGCCTCAAAAACGACTTCCTGCAGCGTCCGACGGGCCAGGAACGCTGTGAGACAGCCAAAGAGGCCGGGGCAATGCGGAAAGATGGCTGCCGCGGGGCACGCGTGCACGGGTGCGCTGAACTCTTTGTGGGGCACGATCCGCGTGAAGTGTCGCGCGAACACGCCCGCTGAGGCCGCATGTGGACCTCCTCCGGGCACGCCCCGTGCCAAACATGTTCCGAAATGGGCGCGGGGGCGCCATGCAAAGATGCCCGTTCTGGAGCATGATTCGCGTGACAGGTGTGCCGACATGGGCGGGGGGGGGCGCTGTTCGAACCTTCGGGGCCTTTGATTCGGTGGTGCTCCTTGTGGGCATGATCCACGTGACGGGATGTACCGCCATGGCTGGGGGGGGGCGCAGTGCGAACCTTGCTTCGGGGGCCGTGGGTGGAGATCCCTGTGGGCCACGATCACGATCCGTGTGCGAGGTGTGCCGAAGTAGGCGGGACGGCGGGATGCGAACTTTGTCTTTGGGGCCGTCCGTGGATGTCCTTGCGGGCCACGATCCGTATGAGAGGTACGCCGAACTGAGCGGGCCGATGTTATGAAATTCCCCTCTGGTGCCGCAGATGCATTTAGTTGCGGGGTACGGTCCTCCTGAGGGACGTGCCACTATGCGAACCTCGTCTCTAGGGATGGAATCACGTTGGGGTCCCTGTGGGACGCGATCCCTGTGAAGGGTGTGCCGGCATGGGCTTGGGGGCCCAAGCCTGTCTGATGGGCCGCAGGTGGAGCCCCCTGAGGTGCATGATTCTTGTGACAATCAATGTCACCCGATGCCGAACACTTTAGACTACAATGGGGCTCGCTGGAACCTGAGCGCGCGCGAAGCGCGCGCGTGGTTCTAGTTCACCTATATTACATTTGACCGCGATGATGCTGCAATCTCTTGCGCAACTCTTCCCTTTCACGCGCTTCCCGTTCATGTCAGGAAAGGTTTGAGAAAAGGGGCGTTTCGCCTGAGACATCCCCCCCAACTCGGGATCTTGGGGGTTCTCGTTTAAGACGTTTTATGCAAACAAATGACGATGCCGCCTGAGACATCCTCCAAGAATGGAGATCTTGAAGTTGTTCGCCTAATTTTCAAATCCTCGAACGGTGGGCGTTTCGCCTGAGACATCCTCGAAACAGTGGGATGCCGAAAGATCTCGTGTAAGGCATCTTTTCGGAGCTATCTCGGATGACCTCCAAGATGGTCCAAGAAGCGACCGTGTTGAACACCTAAGGGTGTTTTGACACTGTTGTTAAACATGAGCGTTTCGCTCGAGACATCCTCCAAACATTGTCTTCGGACGGGTCCTCGAAGGCGAACGTACAAAACAACCCATGGTTTTTTCCTCCTGTTTTTCCTCCTCCTTGTCCTCTTCCTCCTCCTGCTCCTCCTCCTCCTCCTCCTCCTCCTCCTCCTCTTCCTCCTCTCCTTCTTCTCTACCACTTTCTCCTTCTCCTCCTCGTCCTCCTCCTCCTCCTCCTCCTCCTCCTCGTCCTCTTCCGCCTCCTCCTCCCGTTCTTCCTCTTTCTTCTTCTCCTCCTCCTCCTCCTTCTCGTCCTCCTCCTCCCCCTCCTCCTGCTCCTGTTCCTCATCTTCCTCGTCCTCCGCCCCCTCCACTGATGCTGCTGCTGCTGCTGGTCCTCCTCCTCCTCCTCCTCCTCCGCCTCCTTCTCACTCCCCTCCTCCCCTGGTAGTCGTCTTCGCCGTCGTCCTCCTCACGCGGAAGAGTGAGGAGGATATTCAGGAATCTGCTTGTGAACGTTCGGGGGGCGCGTGTCCATACGTATCCCTTGTGGGCGTTCGAAGAGCTCGCCTATATTACATTTGATCGCGATGATGCTGCAAGCTCTTGCGCAACGCTTCCCTTTCACGCGCTTCCCGTTCATGTCAGGAAAGGTTTGAGAAAAAACGGCGTTTCGCCTGAGACATCACAAATCCGGGATCTCGGAGGCTTTTTTGTAAGACGTTTTATGCAAACACATGACGATTTCGCTTGAGACATCCTCCAAGAATGGAGATCTTGAAATCGCTCGCCTAATTTTCGGATCCTCGAAAATGAGCGTTTCGCCTGATATATTCTCGGAACAGTGGGATGCGCCAAGAGCTCGTGTAAGGCATCTTTTCGGAACGATGAAGAGAAATTATTCAACAAAAACAACGGTTGTCCAACAGTTCTGTCAAAACAATAGTTGTTTGCTCGAGACCTCATTCAAAAATTGCCTTGAGACGGGTCCCCGAAGGCGAAATCATTAAAAGACCCATGGGTTTTCACTCGTTTTGTTACAAACAGGGCGTTTCGCTCGAGAGATCCTCCAACAATTGCCTTTGGACGGGTCGTCGATACCATCAGGTCTCCTCCTCCTCTTCCTCCTTTTTTTCCTGTCAGCGCCACGTCTGAACCCGCGCGGCTAGTGAACTGCACCTGGTATCTTTTGTGGGCGTTTGTCTCCATTCGACCTGTTGGTACATCTGTCTCCATCATCGTCGTCATCGTCGTCGTCGCCGTCGTCGCCGTCGTCGTATGGTAGCGGTTCGGTTCAAAGGGCGACGCCAGCTCAAAAAGCCACTCCGTAGAGAAGACGTTCGTAGGATGCTCAGGAACAGGAGCTCGCCCACATTACGGTTCATCGTGATGATGCTGCACGTTATTGCGCAGCTTGTCTTTTTTTACGCGCTTCCTGTTGATGTCAGAATAGGAAGCGCTTCGTTCAAGACATTCTCACAACATCGGGATATTGGAGGATATCGCTTAAGACGTTTAATGCAACAAATGACGATTTCGCC